GCAGGCTCCTCACTGAGCAAGGAGCCTGATGCAGGGCTCAATCCCAGGACTCTGGGATCATGACCTGAGCCTAAGGCAGATGCTTAATCAACTGAGCCACCCAGGCATCCCTAAATATATATTTTTATATAATTAAATATAGTCATATCAATAAATACAGAAAAAAAACAAAATCTGATACCCTTTCATGATAAAAACACTCAACAAATGAGTAATAGTAGAGAATTTCCTCAAACTGATAAATAGCATCTATGAATCACCACAGCTAACATCATACTTAATGGTGAAAAATTGAAAGCTTCCCACCTAAGATCAGGAACTAAACAGGAATGTCTGCTCTTAACTCTTCTATTCAATACTGTCCTTGGGGTTCAAACCAGAACAGTAAGGCAAAGAAAGAAAGAAGAGCCATCCAGAACAAGAAAAGAAGTAAAACTATTTCTATTTGCAGAGGACATGATATTATATATAAAAAACCCCTAAAGAACTCCCCCCCAAGAGACTATTAGGTCTAATAATAAGCAATCTAATGATAAACTTCAGTAAGGTTGCAGGATATAAGATCAACATACAAAAATCAATGGTATTTCTATAAACCAGTAATGAACAATCTCAAAATGAAATTTAAAAAGAAATTCATTTACAATAGTATCAAAAAGCATAAAACACTTAGTAATAGATTTAACAGAATGTAATATTTGTACACTGAAAACCACAAAGCATTGCTGAAAGAAATTAAAGACCTAAATAAATGGAAAGATATTCCATGTTTACGAATTAGAAAAGATGGAAATACTCCCCAAATTGATGAATAGATTCAATGCAATCCCAATCAAACTTCCAACTGCATTTTTAAAAGAAATGGACAAGCTAATCCTAAAATCATAAGGAATTGCAAGGGACCCAGAATAGCCAAAACAATCCTGAAAAAGAACAAAGTTAGAAAAATCACATTTCCTGGTTTGAAAACCTACTACTAAGCTACAGTATAGTACTGGCATAAGGATAGACATGTAGAGGAATAGCACTGAGAGTCCAGAAACAAATCCATGTATCTATAGTCTTATAATTTTCAACAAATGTGTGAATATCATTCAATGAAGAAAAAAATGATTTTTTTTAAACAAACGCTGCTAGGACAGCTGGATATCCACATGCAAAAGAATGAATCTGGACTCCTTCCTCATACTACCTACAGAAATTAATTCAAAATGGATCAGACCTAAATGTAAGAGCTAAGTCTATAAAATTCTTACAAGAAAATATAGGAGCAAATCTTCCTGTGTTTAGGTAAGGCAATGTTTCTTAGAGATGACACCAAAAGAACAAGCAACAAAAAAGAGAGAAATCTGACTCCATCAAAATTAAAAACTTTTGTGCATCAAAGGACACTCAAGAAAATAAAAAGCTAACCCACAGAATGGGAGGATATATTTGCAAATCATATACCTGATAAGAAATTTATATTCAGGGGCATCTGGGTGGCTCAGTCAGTTAAGCAACCAACTCTTGATTTCAGCTCAGGTCATGATCTCAGGGTGGTGAGATTGAGCCCTACATCAGGCTCTGTGCTAGGTATGGAGCCTGCTTAAGATTCTCTCTCTCCCACTCTCTCTCTGCTTCTCCCCCTACCCCTCTCACACTCTCTCTAAAAAAAAAAAAAATTATATTCAGAATATATGAAGAACTCCTGCAATGAAATAATAAAAAGACAGATAATCCAATGAAAAATGGGCAAAGAATATGAATATGTATTTCCCCAAAGAAGAGACGCAATGGTCAAAAAGCACATGAAAAGACGATCAGTATCTTTAGGCATTCAGAAAATGCAAATCAAACCCACAATGAAATACCATTTCACACGTATTAGCTGTGGCTATCATTAAAGAGAGGGAAGGGTGCCTGGTGGCTCAGTTGGTTAAGTGTCCAACTCTTAGTCTCGCTCAGGTCATGATCTCATGGCCGTGAGATCAAGCCCCATGTCCAGCTCCATGCTCAATGTGGAGTCTGCTTCAGATTCTCTCTCTCTCCCTCTGGCCCTCCCCCAACTTGTGCACATGCTCTCTCTCTCAAATAAATCTTAAAAAAAAAAAAAAAAAAAGTTACTTAAAAAGGGGGAAAAAGGCAAAACATAACAAGTGTTGATAGAGATGTAGAAAAAAATGGGACTGGTAGGGATGGAAAATGGTACCAATGCCTTTGAAAACAGTCTGGCAGTTCCTCAAAAAGTGAAACGCAGATATGACCTAGCCTATGGTAATGTATGTTCATAA